TCCACAAGACGTCACGCTGGCACATTACATTGATGACCCTATGCTGACTGGACCTAGTAAGGAAGAAGTGTCACTGACTCTGGACTTGCATACTAGAGGGTGGGAAGTTAATCCAACAAAAATTCAGATGCTCTCCACCTCAATGAAATGTCTAGGAGTTCAGTGGTGTGGGGCATGTTGAGATATTCCTTCTAAAGTAAAGGAAAGTCATTGCACCTGGCCCCTCCCACAACTAAAAAGGAGGCACAACACCTAGTGGTGCCTCTGATTTTGGAGGCAACATATCCTTCGTTTTGGTGTGCTCCTCCGGCCTTTAATCAAGTGACTCAAGAAGCTGCTAGTTTTCACTGGAGCCCAGACCAAGAGAAGGCTCTGCAACAGGTTCAGGCTGCCGTGCAAGTGGCTCTGCTATATGATCCAGCGGATTCAATGGTACTTGAAATGTCAGGGGCAGATAGAGATGCTGTTTGGAGTCATTGGCAGGCCCCTATTGGTGAATCGGTGAATCACAGCACAGACCCTTAGGATTTTGGAGCAAAGCCCTGCCATCCTCTGCAGATAACTATTCTCCTTTTGAGAAATAGCTTTTGGCTTGTTACTGGGCCTTAGTAGGGACTGAACACTTAACCATGGGACACCAAGTCACCATGTGGCCTGAGCTGCCCATCATGAACTGGATGTTGTCTGACCCACAGAGCCATAAAGTTGGACGTGCACAGCAGCACTCCATCATTAAATGGAAGTGGTATATACGAGATCAGGCCCGAGCAGGACCTAAAGGCACAAGTAAGTTCCATGAGGAAGTGGCCCAAATGCCCATGGTTTCCACTCTTGTCACATTACCTTCCATCTCCCAGTCTGCACCTATTGCTTCATCAGGAGTTCCTTATGATCAGCTGACTGAGGAAGAGAAAAATCGTGCTTGGTTTACAGACGATTCTGCGGGATATGAAGGTACCACTCGAAAGCGGACAGTGGCAGCACTACAGCCCCTTTCTGGGACCTCCCTGAAGGACAGTGGTGAAGGGAAATCCTCTCAATGGGTAGAACTTTGAGCAGTGTACCTGGTTGTTCACTTTGCTTGGAAGGAGAAATTGCCAGATGTGCAACTGTATACTGATTCATGGGCTGTGGCCAATGGTTTTGTTGGATGGTCAGGGACTTGGAAGCAACATGATTGGAAAATTGGAGACAAGGAGGTATGGGAAGAGGTGTGTGGATAGACCTCTCTGAATGGGCCAAAGAAGTGAAGATATTTGTGTCTCATGTGAATGCTCACCAAAGGGTGACCTGAACGGGAGAGGATTTTAACAATCAAGTGGATAGGATGATGGTTCTGTGGCAAGCACTCATCTTCTTTCCCTTGCCACTCCCATCATTGCCCAATGGGCTCATGAACAAAGTGACCATGGTGGTAGGGATGGAGGTTATGCATGGGCTCAGCAACATGGACTTCCACTCACCAAAGCCAACTTGACTACAGCCACTGCTGAGTGCCCAATCTGCCAGCAGCAGAGACCAGCACTGAGTCCCTAATATGGCACCATTCCTCAAGGTGTTCAGCCAGCAATCTGGTGGCAGGTTGATTATATTGGACCACTTCCATCATGGAAAGGGCAGCATTTTGTTCTTACTGGAATAGACACTTACTCTGGATATGGATTTGCCTTCCCTGCACACAATACTTCTTCCAAAAACTACCATCTATGGACTTAAAGAATGGTTTATTCACCATCATAGCGCCCCACACAATATTGCCTCTGATCAAAGGACTCACTTCACAGCAAATTAAGTGCTGCAGTGGGCCCATGCTCATGGAATTCACTGGTCTTACCATGTTCCCCATCATCTTGAGGCAGCTAGTTTGATAGAACAATGGAATGGCCTTCTAAAGACACAGTTACAGTGCCACCTAGGTGGCGATACCTTGCAGGGTTGGGGCAATGTTCTCCAGGAGGCTGGATATGCTCTAAACTAGCGTCCAATATATGGTACTGTTTCTACTATAGCCAGGATTCATAGGTCCAGGCATCAAGGGGTGGAAATGGGAGTCGCACCACTCACTAGTACCCCTAGTGACCCGCTGGCAATTTTTTTTTAATTTTATTTTATTGTACTTTAAGTGAAAGTGTACAATTCAAGTTAGTCTCCCATACAAAAATTTATACATACATTGTTATGTGACTCTAATTGCTCTCCCTATGCTGTGACAGTACATTCCTGCTTTTCACCCCTGATCTCCCATGTCCATTCAACCAGCTCCTGACCCTCCCTGCCTTCTCATCTCACCTCCGGAGAGGAGCTACCCATTTCATCTCATGCATCTACTTGTGCTAAGAAGCACACTCTTTATGAGTATCATTTTATGTCCCATAGTCCAGTTGAATCTCTGACTGAAGAGTTGGCCTCGGGAATGGTTTTAGTGCTGGGTTTACAGAGAGTCCAGGGGCCATGCTCTCTGGGGTTCCTCCATTCTCAGTCAGACCATTAAGTCTGGTCTTTTTACTGGAATTTGAGTTCTACACCCCACTTTTCTCCTGCTCCATCAGGGACTCTCTGTTGTGTTCCCCGTCAGGTTGGTCATTGGTAGTAGCCAGGCACCATCTAGTTCTTCTGGTCTCAGGCTGTTGCGGTCTCCGGTTTATGTGGCCCTTTCTTTCTCTTGGACTAATGCTTTCCTTGTGACTTTGGTGTTCTTCTCCTTTCCTCCAGGTGGGTTGGGACCAATTGATCCATCTTAAATGGCCGCTTGCTAGGTTTTAAGACCCCAGATGCCACTCACCAAAGTAAGACTACTTGCAAAATGTTTGCTTCCTGTCCCCATGACCCTATGGTCTGCAGGTCTAGAGGTCTTAGTTCCAAAGGGAGGAATGTTCCACCTGGAGACACGTCACTGATTCCATTTGAACTGGAAGTTAAGAACGCCACCTGGCCACTTTGGGCTCCTTATATCTCTGGATCAACAGGCAAAGAAGGGAGTTACCATATTGGCTGGTGTGATTGATCCTGATTACCAAGAGGAAATCAGACTGATATTACATAATGGAGGTAAGAAAGAGTATGTCTGGAATGCAGGAGATCCCTTAGGGCATCTCTTAGCACTACCATGCCCTGTGATTAAAGTCAATGGAAAACTACAGCAACCCAATTCCAGCATGACTCATCTATGCCAAGAATTTTAAGGACAGCCACCTGCCCAACTGACTGGAAGATATCCATATTTGTGCCTATTCTAAAGGAAGATCATCCAACAGAATGCAGAAATTATCAAACAATATCATTAATATCACACGCAAGTAAAATTTTGCTGAAGATAATTCAAAAACAGTTGAAGCAGTACATTAATAGGGAACTACCAGAAATTCAGGCCAGATTCAGAAGAGAATGTGGAACGAGGGATAGCATTGCTAATGTCTGATGGAGCTTGGCTGAAAGCAGAGAATACCAGAAAGATGTTTACCTGTGTTTTACTGACTATGCAAAGGCATTCGACCGTGTGATCATAACAAATTATGGTTAACCTTGAGAAGAATGGGAATTCCAGAACACTTATTTGTGCTCATGAGGAACCTGTACGTAGACCAAGATGCAGTTGTTCGAACAGAACAAATGGATACTGCCTGGTTTAAAATCAGAAAGGTGTGTGTCAGGGTTGAATCCTTTCACCATACTTATTCATTCTGTATGCTGAGCAAATAATCCGAGAAGTTGGACTATATGAAGAACAGGGCATTAGAATTAGAGAAAGACTCCATTAACAACTGGTGATATGCAGATGATACAACCTTGCTTGCTGAAAGCGAAGAGGACTTAAAGCACTTACTTGATGAAGATCAAAGGCTACAGCCTTCAGTATGGATTACACGTCAACATAAAGAAAACAAAAATCCTCACAACTGAACCAATAAGCAATATCATGATTAATGGAGAAGAGGTTGAAGCTGTCAAGGATTTCATTTTACTTGGATACACGATCAATACCCATGGAAGCAGCAGTCAAAAAATCAAACAACATACTGCATTGTGCAAATCTGCTGCAAAAGACCTCTTTAAAATTTTAAAAAAAAAAAAAAAAAAAGAAGAAGAAGAAGAAAAAGATGTCACTTTGAGGACTGTGGTGCACGTGACCCAAGCCATGGTGTTTTCAATCACCTAATATGCATGTGAAAGCTGGACGGTGAATAAGGAAGACCAGAGAAGAACTGATGCCTTTGAATTATGGCGTTGGCGAAGAATAGGGAATATACCATGGACTATCAAAAGAATGAACCAATCTGTCTTGGAAGAAGTACCCCTAGAATGCTCCTTAGAAGTGAGAATGGTGAGACTTCGTCTCATGTACTTTGGACAAGTTACCAGGAGGGACCAGTCCCTGGAGAAGGACATCATGCTTGGAAAAGTAGAGGGTCAGCAAAAAAAGAGGAAGACCCTCAAGGAGATGGACTGACACAGTGGCTGCAACCATGAACTCAAACACAGCAACAATTGTGAAGACAGTGCGGACGGGGCAGTGTTTCATTCTGTTGCACGTGGGGTTGCTATGAGTCAGAATCGACTCGACAGCCATGAACAACAGCTGACAGCCCTAAATGTACCCTTCCGATATTTGCAGACATTCTCAGAAAAATAGGAGGGAGTAGGTGTGATGGTTTTTGTTCGTTCATTCATTTATTGGCAATATTATCTGGTTACATAACATTACGTTGGTTCCTTCCAGCCTCTGCTCACGTGGCCCTTTATCAGACAGGCCTTTGGGGACCACCCCGTATAAAATACACGGCGCCTACCACTCCATTGCCCGCCACCTGTCCACCTGCCCTGGTCCAGGTGCCAATCATCCCTTTCCCCTCGCTGGAGGCTCAGCTCTTCCAGGGCAGTCCCTTTGCCTTGCTCGCAGGCCCCTCCTGCCTTGACGGTGGCTCAGTAACAAGTCTGGGCCGTGGGTGAGGTGCCCCCGGGCTGGCCACCACAGCTGCGCTCCGTGTATACGTGTGTCCCAGGTGGAGACGTGGAAAGTTCCAGGAGGTGGTCAACGCCCAGTATGTCTTGCTGGAGGTGAACGGGCTGTTCACGTACACATACTCCCTGACGGCCGGCACTGCACTCTGCAAATCACAGCCACAGAACTGGACCACCATCATGGCGGATGCTGGCTATCACAGGCCCTTCTCCTGGGACAGAGAGGTGACACTTGCTCTTTGATTACTTCCAATCAGATGCAATGGCTGTTCATGCCCAGGTCGCGGGGAGGGTAAGGAATGGGACACTGCCAGGTGGCAGGGCTGAGTATGGGACGTTAGATGAGCAGGCCCTCTGGGACTCTCTCCCAAGAGAATTGGCCAAATGATCAAAGACGTTTGTACCAAGATGGTCACCTGGCACTGCTGATAATTGGCAAAATTCTGAAACTTCCAAATGACCATTACTGAAAAAACAAAAAAAACCCATTTGCTGTCAAGTCAATTCTGACTCATGGCGACCCTCTGTGTGTCAGAGTAGAGCTGTGCTCCACGAAACAAAAAGTAGGTTGCCATGCCTTTCTTCCGAGGTGCCTCTGGGTGGACTCGAACTGCCAGTCTTTGAATTAACAGCCCAGCAAGTTAACCATTTGCACCACCCAGGGAGAAAGTCTACCCATGACAAAGGGACCGATTAAATTCAGGCTGTTTCGCTTGGCGAGTGTTTTCATAATTCAGATCAGTTCATACCTATTGGCACATAAGGGCACGATGCCCGTATAAGGAAGAAATGTGTTGATTCCCGCGTGCGTTTTCCCCAGCTCGCTCATGTCTTGCCTCCAGTCAGAGGCGCTGAGCGTCCGTACGGGAACACAGCCAATGCCGCCAATAGGCGGCGCTCGCTCCCTGCTCCTGACGCGCACGCCCACAGGCGGACGTCCCGGATTTTTTTCCGTTTACTTTCAGGGCCTCGGCCCCCTGCATACACTCACTTCGTCGAGTGAGGTCGATCATTTTTGTTATTGGTAGTGGTGGTCTGCGTTTTTCACTTTTCCTTCCTTTTTATTTTTATTGTGGTGAAAATATACACAAGAAAACAACGCACCATTTCAACAATTTCCACAAATAAAATTCCGTGACCTTTGTCGCTATCCTTTGCTGAATTATTCCATCATCATTAACATAAGCCCAATGCCCCCGAAGCAAAAACTCTCCCCTCCGCCTCCCTCCCACCTCTGGAAACCACTGATACAACCTTTGGTTTCCGTAGGGTCGCTGTGAGTCGGAATCCACTCTGTGGCAACGGGTTTGGGTTTTTTTCCCTACACTTTGTTCTGAAGGAGCCCTGGTGGGACAGTGGTTAAGCACTCGCTGCTAACCGCAAGATCGGAGGTTTGAGCCCACCAGCAGCTCCAGAGGAGAAAGATGTGGCAGTCTGCTTCCGTAAAGATTAGAGCCTTGGAAACCCTATGGGGCAATTCTGCTTTGTCTCTAGGGTTGCTATGAGTCCAAATCGACTCGACGGCAACGTTTTTTGTTTTTTTATACTTCGGTCTCCTTCACCTGCCTCAGTTTCCTCACCATATAGTGGGGCATGAATGGGTCAAGAGGGTCTGCCTGGTTCAGAAGCCAGAATCTGGTATTACTGGGAGGGGCGAGCATACAAAATCACTCACTGGGCAGACTGGAGGGGCTGGCTCGAGGCTGGTCTCAGGAAATGACCCCAGAACTGACCACAGGGAGCTGCCACCTCACCCAAGATCAGGAAGGTGGGGACTCGGAAGGCCACCCAAGACTACTGAGATCAAGGCCTGCCTGCCTCTTGATGTCCATGACTGTGCCTGGGGGCAGCACCAGTGAAATCCCTCAGGAAGGAGCCCCCACCTCACTGCCACCTTCCAGTTTTCTGAGTGTGTAATTGACACCGCCATCAACTCCACAGCAGTGGGTTTGGGTTCATGCTAGATTCATAGCTGCAAGGGAGTCTAGGAAGCAGAGCTATCAAGCCGCCAGCCTCCAGTTCAGGAAGGCCCAGCAGGAGGAGGGCTTGGAGGACGCTGAGCATCCAGTGCACAGGCTCCTCCACAGGGACCACAGGCCTGCTCACCCATGGGCATCCCGTGGCAGGTTTGATGAGCGGTGGGGTGGGCTGTGCAGTGGAGGGCGTCTGTGGGCCTTGGCCAAGGGAGGGCCTGGGGCAGCAGGCACACGCGGCCTGAGAGCCTCTGTCCTCCTCCCCAGAACTATGTGAGCTGCCACAAGCCCAACGGTGGCTCCCTTCTGAGGTGGCCAGATGTCCCATATCAGATCATGGGCGGCCCAACAAACAACAAGATCATTTTTGAGCAGAGGAATGGAATCTACGTCTTCCTGCTTTCCATCGTGGACCCCTACTACAGGTGAGGGGAGCGGGTACTCCCCTGTAACGGGCATCTGGCGAAAGGCCGACTGTCCTGGGGTGGGCTACACGTGGGGGGACGTACTTTCCTCCCTCCCTTCAGTGGGATGTGGCTCAACGGAGTCCCACCAACAGTCCAGACTGTCCCTGGGAAGAGTTGCATTTCAAGTCCTGGTGACATTTGTCCATTCACTAAGAAAATACTCAGCTTTGCTGTGGGCCAGAGCCCGTGCTGGGTGCTGGGGGAGAGCAGGGACCAGCAGCTACATCCCTGCCCTCGTGTGCTGCAGGCACCCTCTCGTGCCACCCCTGACTGCTGATATGCCAGGAGTGGTGTGCCAGAACTGGCTCAAACCCGTGATCAAGTATTCAGAAATTTTGCACCAGCTGACTTCACGTTGGTATCTTGAAATCAGCCACGATGGGAGTATTTATACCAGGGCAAGCGGCACACACTGCAAAGCAGACCTTCCCGCAACCCAATCCCCTCTCCCCAGCTGGCTGTTCACCTTTTCCAGCACGCTGCATGCTGGGAAGGCTTTGGAAGCCACCTCTCAGAGTGCTGACCCAGACCCTTAACATCTCCCATGGGAGGGGGGGCGCGGACTGTCGGACAGCATCCTTTCCCTTGCCTTAAGCCATTATCCACCATTATCTATCCCCTCCCAGCAGGGACATACAAAAGTCCTTCCTAGCAAAGCATGTGGGGACCTTGCCTGCCCTAGAGGCCTCAGGCCTGGACTGGGATCAGCTCTGGGATGACCCCAGGTGGAAGGCCCTGGGGTGGGGGCATCCAGAGGAGAGAAAGGGGACTGTGAGACTTGCCCCCTCCCACTGTTCACCATGCTTCTCCCCCGTATCGCGCCCCAGGGAAGTCTCACACTCCAATGCCTTTCCCACGGGGTTCCTGTCTCTGGAAGCCCCCCTCCTGTCCCGCTCACCCCCCATCTGCTGCCCACATCACCGGTGCTCCGGGCTCCTCTCCAAGGCCACCTGTGGTCCCTTGTCATGCCTCCTCACTTCCATTGTGTTGTAACAGTTTATTGGGCGGTGCAGATGGTTAATGAGCTCAGCTGCTAACTGAAAGGCTGGAGGTTCGAGTCCACCCAGAGGTGCCTAGGAAGAAAGCCCTGGTGATCTATTTCTGAAAACTCAGCCCCAGAAAACCCTATGGAGCACAGTTCTACTCTGACACACAGGGGCGCCGTGAGTCGCAATCGACTGGTTCTGACATAGTCCCATCTGACCCCTTGACTCCGTCATCCTGGACTGGTTGGCAACTGGTTTTTGTTTTTGTTTTTTTTTCCTGCCCTCTCTGGACTGAGCCTGGGGGGAAGGATGGGCCTCGTCCCCAGAGGAGGAGACCACAGAGGGCCTGCAAAAAAACAGCTGGTGCCAAACCCACAGAGAGAAGGACAGAGTCAGAAGCGATAGATGTTATGGAGCATAGATGGACGTAAACGGAACGGGATGTCCCCAGCCCCTGCGCTGGGGCCCGGCTCCACCACACGTGGGCTGGAGCGAGTCTGCTGGGATGAAGAGAGGGGTTCAGGAGGCTATGCCCTAAGGCCCGTCCCTGCCCACCTGTCCTTGCAGCTACTGCCACCTGGAGACCACCTTCAGCATCTACGTGTACGGGGACTTCCCACCCAGCATCATCCCCATCGAGCTCACCATCATCCTGCTCACAATGGGCATGCTGCTCACCCTGTGGCTGGTCTACGCCATCCCCAAATGTCACGCACCGAGATGAGCCACAGGGTCCTGGGCTGCTGGGCCACCCTGTTCAGGAGCTGCAGGGAATCCTACTCGTGTTTCCCGGCCAGTTGTTTAGACGTAGCCGGTCGGGTGGCAGGGGGGACTCGGGGCTGAGGACCCCCAGGAAATAGCTCGGCTTTTCACAAAGGTAATCTGTTGGGGTCCAGAGAGTCGTTTTAAAATAAAGCATTATGGAAAAAAGCAAGGGTCAGCGGTTGATGAGCCTGTGGGAGCCCTGAGTGGTGCAAACAGCAAACACGCTCAGGTGCAAACCGAAAGGTTGCAGGTTCGATTCCACCCAGAGGCGCCTCGGAAGAAAGGCCTAGTGATTGACATCAGAAGAGCCAGCCACTGAACAGGGAGTTTAAGTCAATGGGAGTGAAACAACCGGAACAGAAATATCAAGAATGTTAACATAATGTGGAGGATGTCACCAGGATCACTGATTGGTACATCTAGAAATGGTGGGATTGGAGTGGGTTTTGTTGTGTATATTTTCACCAAAAATAAGATAAAATATTAATTTAGAAAAAAATCAGCCACTGAAAACCCTATGAAGTACAGTTCTATCCTGACACACACGGGGTCACCATAAGTCGGAGTCGACTCCATGGTAACTGCAGACTCCACACCCTGGACAACAGTGGGAATGGAGATAGTTCCTTTCAGGGTATGGCCCCCCCCACCTCTTCCCCAAGACACTCCAGTCCAGCTTCCCGCCCAGCTCCTCACTGGGACCGTCCCCCGGCTGACAGAGCTCAGGAAAGGCTTGGGGCCTTCATTCCAGAACTGGGTATCAGAGAAGCATTTGCTACTTGGGCAAGGGGCAAAGAGGGGCCTGAGAGGTGCTCGTTCAGCTGATTAACTTGCTCACGGAGGTAAAAGTTTCCCTGCACTTCCTGTCACTGCTGAGCAGAACAAGAGTGACTTGGGGGTGTACCTGGAAGACCATTTCTCTTCGGTCGCCTGCTGTTACTGTTGGCTGCCGTCATGGCGAACCCACGCACAGCGGAACAAAATGCTGCCCAGTCCGGCGCCATCCCCCTATCAGTTTCGGACTGGAATGTTGTGATCCACAGGGTTTTCATTGGCTGATTTTCGGAAGTGGATCACCAGGCCTTTCTTCCTAGTCCATCTTAGTCTGGAAGCTCTGCTGAAACCTGTTCAGCATCCTAGCAACACGAACGTCTCCATGGATAGGTGGTGGCTTTGCACATGGTGCATTGACTGGGACTCAAACCCGGGTCTCCCATAGGGAGGGCGGGAATTCTACCATTGAACCCAAGGCCACCTACCGTCTCCCTTTAAGATCTATTAGGTGGGAGAACCTAACTGGATCTCTGAATGACATTTGGGCAGCTCCACTCTGAGGTTAAAAAAGAAAACATTCTGCACTCATTGTAATTGCCCCACGCAGCCTCCATTCAGTCTCACGGAACGCGGTGACCAGTTTTAACAGGTCGTCCTAGGCTGGGCCAGCTCGGCACCATGGACAGGGTCTTCTCCCTGTCCCACCCCTCCCACCCTGACTTGCCAGCTCAGGGTTCTGAGCACACCCACCGGGCGGAAGTGGGGCCAGGACACAAGCGCGTTTGTCCCCGACAGGTACCACTGTGAGACGGCTCGTGGTCGCCCGGGCCAGTGGGGTTGGTCCCCTCACGGAGGCCCTGCCAGCGGGCCCATGCTCCCCGATGCAGGGGTACACTTCCCTCCTGTTGGGGTTTCAAGGAACAGCGTGACACGTACAGCAGTGAGATCCCTTATTACTGAGCCCTTCTCACCTCATGTCCTGGCTCAGCACAAACGTTTGCGCTTGACTGTGAACTAAAAAAGGAGCCCTGGTGGCACAACGGTTAAGCACTCGGCTGCTAATGGAAAGGACGGTAGTTGGGACCCACTCTGCAGCTCCGTGAGAGAGAGACCAGGTGAGCTGCTTCCACAGATCACAGCCTAGAAAACCCCATGGGGTAGTCCTACTTCACATGGGATCACTATGAGTCCAAAATCAACTTGATGGCACCTAACATAACGTTAACCTAAAGGTTGGTGGTTCAAACCTGCCCAGCGGTGCTGCAGAAGAAAGGCCTGGTGATCTGCTTCCATAAAGATTCCAGCCAAGAAAACCCTGCGGAGCAACTCTACTTTCACATGGGGGCACCATGAGTCGGAAGTGACTCAATGGCAACGGGTTCGGTTCTTTGGGTTATTTTTTTCATCTCCTGTGTCTGTATTTTGACCTTTCTGTCCACTTACGTAACCCCAACTCCAGTCACTTGTTTATGATCGTTTCCCTTCTCTGTCTTGCTTCTGGTTTTTGGTTGGCTTTTTGAAGTGGTTGTTGGGTTGTCTGGTGGTCGTTGTTTTGCAACCCTCCCTCTGCAGTGATCTTCAAGAGAAACCACCCGTCGCCGGGGGCAGCCACATCCTCCTTGAACAGAGTCTCCCCTCAGTTGGGGGTCACTTGGTTTTAGTCTCAAAGACACCCCCAATGAGGCTGCGGGGAAAGGGCCTGGGGAGATACTGCTCGGAGTCGTTGTAGGTGGGGCCAGGAAGGCCTGAAGGGTGATCCCTGGGGACCCCACCAAACTGTCATCTCTACTTCCTGAGCCCGTTTAGGGGTTCTGAGGAGGTCAGGTGTAGTCTGCATGGTGCTGAGGGGGTAGAGGGAGGGCCCAGGACGAGGCAGGAGGGTCCCTGACCACCTCCCACCCCTGCAGGGGCGTGGGGTGGCCGGGGTCCAGGCCTGCTTCCCCATTCCAGGGCGGAGACCTCAATGTCACTTTGCTTCCCGCTTTCTTCCCTGCTCCTTCAGGGTCACCTTTGGGCGTGGCCGGCACCTGCCTCAGCTGCGGAGGAGTGTGCTCCGTGGACCCGAGGGGAGAGCCCCAGGGTGGGAGAAGGTGGGTGGAACCCAAGCCTACGCCTGGCCCCATTTCCCAGCTGGCAGGAGGCTGTCCTGCCACCTTGGAGGGAAGCCATGGTGTGGCCGGGCCTGGTACAGGTGTGCCCTCCCTGCCTCCATCCCTCACCTGTGCTCAGGTGTAGTCTGCACACCGTCACGTGCGCGCCTGTGCCTGCTCACCTGCACACCCTCTGCGCCCCCACCCTCTGTGAGCGCTGCTCCTTTCCCGCGTGGGTGCCAACTCCTGCACCCTGGCCCCCACCAGGCGTGTGTGCGCCAGCATCCACCACTGCGCTGACTCCCACAAATCTGGTGAACAGGCATGTGCAGCTTTATGCCCTGGCCTGTGGCCACCCTCCCTCTACCTGCCATGGCTTCCTGGGGCCAGAGGAGGCAGTTGTGGGGACACTGAGGGCCAGTGTGAGACCCACCCTGCTTGCTGTGTGTCTCCAGACAAGTTCTTACTCTCTCTGGGCAGCCTTGATTTCCCCGACCAGACCCGGGGCTGAGAGTCCTTCGGTGGGAGTAGGAATCTGGGCGGTGGCTCCCAGCGCCCCACAGCCCCGTCCCCACAGTGACCCCAACTCTCCAGGAGTGGGAGACGAGGGGCTTAGAACCCCCTTTGATTCTAGGGGAGCCCCTGGGTGGTGCAAATGGTTCGCATGTTTGGCTGCTAGCAGAAAGTTGGAGGTTCAAGTCTACCCAGAGGCACCTCAGAAGAAAGGCCTGACAATTGATTTCTGAAAGAGCAGCTACGGAAAAACTACAGAGCACAGTTGTGACACATGTGGGGCCGCCATGCGTTTGAGTGGACTTAGCACGTAGCGTGGCTGCGTGCGTGTGATTCTGGGGTCCCCACTCAGCCCGGCCTCACCGGGGCCCAACCTCACCTGCCCGTTGGGACAATGGTGCAA